CAGGTACACCACTCACCTGGGAAGCTAATTAACCTCTCAGCCTCAGGGTCTAGCACAAAATATGTTACTGAGAGTTAAACAAGTTAACATAGTCCCAGACACAATGGTTAAACAAAGTCAAAATGTGTTTATTTGGCCCCCATGGCCTAAGTCATATTTTCAGTCCCATTTTATAGATAATGGCTCAATCTCAAAAAGAATGATGCTAAATAATTTCAAGAGACTGTTTCTTCCTGAACAAATCTTTAATAAGAGCAGAACATGTGAGAAATGAAACAATTCCAGTGCTAACCATGACTAACTAATTGTTCAATTAGCAGTTTGGTAACTGAGCAGGTCATTTGGAACCACCTGGGACAGTTGATGCCCTGGGAAGCCCCAAGCCGAGTGAGTCCTTGTCCCCAGGCTCGAAGTCTCATAAAGAACAGGCAGCACCTTTGTTTAGGAAATACTGCCACAGAGAACAACTGTGAAGCTGTTTTATTTTCAGAAATCTTACAAATCCTGTAGGTGTAAAGACCCAAGCGCTTTGACAATTCAAGTCAGCAAGGTGCACGCAGACATCAGGGTTGTGGCTTGGCACCCTCACAGCTGTGGGTCTGACTCATAGTCCAACCACTCCAGGCACGTGCTGCTGTGGGTTTGAGCTCTGGGAGCCACAGGGACCCTCTAGATCTTCTCAAGCAGGCCTTTAGGCACAACAGGCGTCCAAGTTCGTGTCCTCCTCCTCTCAGGCAGGGCAGGGCAGAGTCCAGCAGCTCTGGCAGAGACCTGCAGGGTCCAACCCAAGTGAGAGACTCCGCAGCCCTGCCCCAGGCCCCTCTTCTCACACTGCCCCTCTGATAGGTAGATTGCAGGCAACAAAGTGGGGGGGAAGGAAGAGGACCCAGATGGCTCCTGCCTAAGCCCTCAGACCAGTGCTAAACACGATGGAGGTGTGAAGCCAGGCGTGAGTGAGGTAGGGCCCAGCAAGCTAATCTGTCAGCAGTTCAGGCCATATGGCACCTCCACTTTTCCTCCCCAGCATCAAGATCCCACGTGCTCATTCCCACCTGGCTAGGCCACCTGACCCCTGCCAAGTGTTGCGGTTGACTTCCTGACCATCCCTTATGCACCCTTCTGGCCCAGGCCACACTCTCAAATATACCCCAAAGCACAGCAGACACATCCACACAACTCTGAGCAACCCCAGGGCAGACCAACACACTCCAGCTGTTGCGCACAAAGTCATACTCCTGAAGTGGGGCTGTGAGCTGAGGGTCGAGTGCCTGGGCCAAGGGATGGCAGGAAGGCTGTGGAGGCCTGTACCTGTCAGACAACCTCTCCCTCTCCAAGGGCTGAACTGATCTATATTGGGACAGATGAACTCGGCTGAGGCAGATTAGAACATCCTCTGAGTTACTTTCATTCCTTCTGATTAAAATAGCATTGCATTTTTTAAAGTGCAAACCAAAAATGAAAAAGGGAGGAAGCAATGGGTGAAATGCATCTTCTCACAAGAAAAACATACATGCTCCTAATGGCATTAACCATTAGGACTCTGAACTGGTATCGGACTGGATCCAGTAAAACTGAAGATAAAAGAAAGACATTTTCAAACTACGCCTTCTACTTGCAAGTATTTATTAATCTATTCTCTCTGAAGCAGGCTCAGTGGAAGCCTGAGATCAAAAACATTTTAATTCAGGTGAAAATGCTTCTAACTAATTTTTCGTTTGAGTTTTTTTAAGTGACATTTGGGGAAATTCTGTCTGAAAGAAAATATGCTGGGAACCTCAAAGCTGTGAAAGTACATTCCACCCTGAAGCTCCCAGCAGACACCCTGGGCTGGGCAGTGGGCTGTCCCCGGTGGGGTGTCTGGAAGCAGAGATGGGCCCTGAGGTCTCTGAGGAGTAGAAGCCAACAGGGGAGCCCCTCTATTCCCTTCCAGGAAGCTTGGTATTTATCCATCTGACTAACCTCATGGTGCTGATTCCCAGACTACTTTCCTGTAAATTCACACCATAAAATTCCCGTTAGAGTTACTTCTGCAGACAGCTAACATTCAGTTTATTCATGAGTTGAGTTCCCAAGGAAAGAGTAGAGGAGAAGAAACAGACAAGGAGGATGGAAGAACTGGGGGGAAGTGGGAACAGAAAAGTTCCCCCCAAAACCAGGCACCCCACTCAGCTCTGCTCCCTTTTGCAAGAGAAAAGTTGACAAAGGTGGGCTTAGGGCAGAGCATTGGGACGGGCAGAGCATCCACTTTCCAAGATGCCTGAGTCACATGCAAATCTGGCTGGCCATCCAGTGCCTTGCCTGTTCCCAGAGCAGATAATCAACGGCAGTCCCCACCCCTGCTCCACCAACTGGGCCAGTTCCCTACCTCTATGTCCACTCCAGCCCAGTCCTGATTAAGGTGTTCCCGCTGCTCCTGGTCCCCCAGCCCAGGCAGGGGAATTGGGCAGACCCAAGCCCCGCTCACTGTTTTCCAAAGTAGATGTACCTTCTGCACCAAGTCCATCCAGGAAGAGCTCAGTCCCTACCAGCCTGACCACCACTGTCAAGCAACTGCTGGGGGCCCAGGATATCTCTCTAGTGCTCTGTCCATTCACAGGCACCACCTCTCCTGCTCTCTCTGCCCAGTGCTGGGCTGTGCAATCCAGCACTCCAAATGGTCCTGCCACCACTAGGGTGGGCAGCCCCAGGAGGGTGGTCAGCCAGGCTCTGACTCCGGCCTCCCCAGTGCACCATGGTGCTAGTCTCCTCTGCCCCCACACCACATACAGCACCAGCCATGTCATCGTCTGCAGATTCAGTAACCCTGGGCCAGAGGAGGACAGAGGATGGGGAGGTGCACTCCAGGCAGTACAAGGGAGAGCACCCACCACAGCAGTTAGGGACAGGCCCCACCGGCACTGCTGCAAGTCAGCTGCCTGAGCCGCGCAGCCTGTGCAAGCACACTTTCTGCCAGCGTCTCTTTGGCATCTCCAGGCACTTCCAGGGCTTTCAAATCAAGGCTGCCACAACCCCTAGAACACAGCCCCCTTGCAGCCAAAAGGCTAGAAGAGGTCATCCCAGAGTACGTTCTCCCCACTGGGGCAGGCACCAGGGGCATTTTAGGCAATTGGTGACCACTACCCTTGCTGGTGTCTTCTAAGAGTAGTCAGAGCTTTGGCTCCAAACACTGGGGGCTGCCTCTTGTGGGCAATGCTATGATCACACGGGTCCCCTGAGCTGCACTTTAGAAAGAAACAGCCCCAATCCAGGAGGAGCTCCCAGCCACACCTGTGCTCCACTGCCCAAGGGGCTTGGTGCCCGGGCTGTTTGGGGAGGGAAAGGCCTCCATGCCCAACTCTACATGGCTCCTGCTCAGCCCCCTGGATCAGCAAACACCCTTTGAGGTTCAGCACCACCCAGGTGCCCCTGCAGGACAGGGGCACCCTGTAGGAAAAGTTCATAAAGCTGCCTCCTCTTTGAACACAAACTGCCCTCTAAGTTCTGACCCAGCCTCTTCTGTACAAGGAACAACCACCGAGGGGGACAGGGAAGCTGCCACCACTGATGGCAGCTTCCTGGCTAAGCACTGGAAGACTCCAATCCCTGCTGCTCCCCCACTCTTTTGTTTACCGTTAATTAACAGGGCCATATGGAAGGAGGTGATAATCACGGCCAAGGACCAATGGGGGGGAGCCCTGGTGGCTGGGAGCCTGGGGCCAAGGGGAGTCTTCCCCAGCCAGCCCTGGATGAGGACACAGCACCCCCACACCCCAGGCCAGAGTGAGACAAGGCAGGGTCTGCCAGCACTACAAGAAGTCAGCAGAGCACACCCCTCTGTATCCAGCTGGGCCCCCCAGGTCTACCTCAGTACCCCTCTTACCTTTTGTTCACTATCCTCAGAGATGTCTTTGGGTTTCTCTGTGATTTTTTTTAAGCCACCAGGGCAAAATTCCCTACCTCCCTCTTTCAAAAGGACAATTAGAATCGTACTGTCATTATTATTGTTATAGTGACACACTCAATGCTCAAGACCAAACTCACATGCAGCCACTGAACTCCCCCCCAGATGTTTTGTTTCAGAAATTAAACACCCAACTTTACCAGCCAATGATGTCCACTGATTCAAAGGTGATGCTGAGACAAGAAGGGCCCTCAGTGACTCCGAAAGAGCAGTGAGGACCCACCACATCAAAACACAAAGCCACTCCGGCACTTGTTTATTTTCCCAGTTTATAAAGGAGAAAGTGAATTCATTGGACAGAACCAACGTCCGCAGCTCCAAAATTAAGAGCAATGGCATTGAGGCGTTCAATGCTCAAACTGACTTCTTAGTCAACCCTGATTTTTAGTTTTAAATATGAAAATTCAGTTACCCTAACACCATAAACAATCACACTCCATAACCCCACGGCCACATAACGAGAAGAGGAACAGCTGATATTTACTTCTGCACATCTATCCCACAACACATATGCCCTCAATATTGCTCCTTAAGTTTAGAAATATATGAAGCACAAAAACAAAATGTTCACATGAGCATCCCTACTCTGTACCTTGGGTGGGGGTCACAGATGAGATACCCCAGACTCTGAGACCCTGTTTCAGAGAGGTCTTCTGCTTAAGGGACCAGCATTCTCCACGGAGTCGCTGGGTCCCAGGGCTGCAGACATACCCGTTGTTCCTCTCCCAGAATTGCGCATAAAGTTTCTCTTCTTGATACACACTCCCCCTCCCCTAATGTCTCCTCTGTCAGACGCACAACATGTCCCCTAGAATCTCAGAGGAGCATGAAGAGACAGAGAAACAGGAAGAAAACAGCACACGGGCAGACCAGGGAGGAAAAGAAACCCTCGGTACTCCAGAGCAGTGTTAAAAAGCCATCCCCAGACCTGCTTTTCCTGCAAAGAAAGCCTTCATCTTAGAAATTAACTCTGCCCGCACCCTCTCCCTGTCTCTGTTCAAGGGGAAAAACCAAGCATTGGGTGTCTGCCTTTGTCAGAAAGAACATAACATTGACTTACCTTTCCCCACAGCTATTGTCTGTCCTCTTTCAAAATGACATCACGGAAAGCAATCATGAAATTTACATGGGGGGTGCAGGGTGGACCGGGCGGGGGTGGGGGGGGGAGGAGAGGAAAGGCAGCTGCCTCGCTCACAGCAGTCACATGTGGGGAAGCCTGTGTGCGGGTTTCAATTAAATATCTTCTCCCCTTAGTGTGCGAACTCCTAAGCCAGCTAAAGGCGATGTCTCATTTACTTAATGACCGCTCTCATTAGCAGCGGTGGCACGGGCTGGCGGAGGAGGCTTCTTTGTAAATACGCTACCCATGAACCCTTGGGGCTCCAATATATCTGTTTACTCTCTGAGGTGAAATAAATTTACAGTATAGCATCAGAAAGATGGATCTGCTGGATTGGGGGTGAAAGGCACCCCAGGCTGGGGGTCCCCTGTCCCCTGTTCCAAGCCTCAGCCTACAGAAGGTGCCTATGTTTGTCCACATGGACTCATAATCAATATGCAGCATGATTGAGGTTTTTTTTAATGCAAAACACACAAAAGGGCAGAGAGCCTTACAGCCTCCACGTTCACCCCCCTCTGCTTTCTCTGCCAGTGGTTCAGTCCAATAATTCCTAATAGCAGCAACCGGAATGACAGATGCCCTGGGTTAGCATGGCTACAGCGAAAGTACTTTACAATATTTATTGGTGGTTAGGAATATGACCTACCATCATAAAGAATGGGCTGCAGAATTTATTACTCAAATGAACCAGGAGTATTACATATTGGCTCATCTGCATATTCAAGTACCAGCGACTTAAATGGATATATATTTTTTTATTTGCATAAAACATACCTACAGCCACAGACCAAAAAATAAAGTCATGCACACAAAGAAAAGATAAGGAAAAGAATTTTTTCCGTTGTCACACATTCCCTTTTTGCTTTAATTTTGAACATAATAAAACCTTCCCAAAGAGAACTTGGGAATTCCTGAGGAACCGGCGTCCTACCCACTAAAAACACTATGCTTATTCCAACCAGAGGGAAGCACACTGCTCAAGTTTTCTTTTCTTTTTCCTACTCTTTTTTAAACTGCCTGAAACAAGCTATCCAATGAAAATCAAGAAGAGAAAAATCCATAGCACACACAATAGAAGTGCCCACCCACTCTTTGCAGCCTGTCTGCCTTCTCGTCTGGCAGTTTGTGGGTTTTTTCCACATTTAGGGATAAATGTGGGAATTCCTCAGTAAGAGTACCCAAGAGCCAAGATTTTCATGTTTACTACCTAAGTCCCCTTCTTGTGCTGATAAAACAATTGTCTGTTATCATAATGAAGATGTTAGAAACTATAATGTGAAACACAAGGATGAAAACTGAATTTCAGATACCTGCAAAAGCCAACTGGAGAACCAGTAAAACTCATGTCTCAGAAGTTCAGTGCAGAGATTTCAACAGACAGTAAATATCATTTCTTGGTAAATTATGCAAGAACACAATACTGCCAACTTAATTAGCACTAGAGGGCTCAGGCCACCAAAAGTGTAAATGAGACAGAACTAAAAATTTAACTTTCTCTAAAAGAGCATGTTTTGAAAATCTTAGTTGATTGTTTTTGACATGCAGTTTGTGCTCTATACATTACATGTAAACCAGTAAACTTCACCCAAAAAGCTACTATGTTAGATTCTTATATACACACACATTATTCTCAACAAATAAAACACAAAATGCACGCGGAATAATCATTTAGATGGGGCAAAAGGAAAAAAATTCAAGCCAGCACTGGTCAAACTTAGGATGAAATATTAATTAGCCAAATGAGAACTGTTTGAGGTTTCCACAATGACTGCCTGCCATTTTTTTAGTCTTTCATAAACTCATATCCATTAGCATAAAAGGACACATTCAGCTGAGAGCACTCCTGAAAAGCCATTTCTATCTCCTCCGGACATGTTGTGAGTGCAGGGATGTTTTACATCCCAAACCTTCAGCATTTAGAAATTCTATTGAACTCTTATCGTCAAGCTGCAGGCTCCAGGCAGCCTTGCAGGCCATTGTTCCACAACGAAGATATCATCAAAGGCAGGGCCAATGCTGAATCAGCCATATTCCCCAACAATGCCCAATGTTTCATGAAAGCCCTCTAATTCAGATATGTAATAGTCAAATGTAAGAAACAACAAAACGGAGGTGACAACAGGGAGAAATCAATATGTGCAACAGAAAGACCTCATGGGCCATGATCATTTTTTCAGGTAATAGAAATTATACTTGTGCAAACTTAAGTCATCCGGCATTTCACATTTTTCCCTTTGAACGATCACGGGCCTCCTGAGACATGTGGCTCTGCTGGTCAGAAATGGGGCACCCAGAACCTAGCTGGGCTGCCGGTGAGAGCATCCAGGATGTGCTTGGAAACTTAAAATCGGGGCCTTTCGGCGGAGCCTAGAGAGCCCTAGGCGCTCCCACTGGGAGGCTGAAGTTGTATGAGCAGTTTCAGAAGATGGGTCTTGATGAGCAGAGGTTCAATATCTATAGCTGACACCACCAAGAGAACAAAGGAGTCAGGGGAAAGAGCAGGGCAGAGGAGAAGTTCGCTGGCAAGTTTCTCGGGTTTGTTTGCTTCTGCTCAATCCCCGAGAAGGAGCCTGAGCGCTGGGTGGATCCGAGGCCTGATCAGCACTTCGGACAGCGCTCCCCCCTCCCGTCTCCGCCTTTGTTCTCGGCGCCAGAAGTCTGGAGTTCGCACCAGCGTTCAGCAGGCGCTCCGCTCAGAGATGAGAGAGGCAATTCCAGACCCAAGGCTCCCAGCCCAACAGATCCCCGCTTGGAAATGACAACAGCAAGTATAATCTAAAACTCTTTTCTTGCATCGGGTGAAAATTTGTCAGGATTTTTCTACATCATAAAAACATTTTCTTTCCCACAGCTAAGCATGGAGCACATTGTTCCTTTAGATTTTATTTCATCAAAATCTGTGGGGAAGTCTTATGTAACTTTTTAATGCTATGTTGGGGAAGACCCACAGGGAAACATTCCCGTCTGATTGGTGGGTCCTCAGACTCCCCACGGGGAGGAAAAGGGGAGATTTGCAAAACCAAACTTGCGGCTGCAGTCGCACTCGCTAAGAAAGTGCTTTGTGTGAGCTGGGGGAAGCAGGCTTAATGATCGCTTAGCTGTTAAGATCATTTCAAATAAAGTGTAATTACTTGTACAAATCTGCACACAGACATTCCAAGTGTCAGTTCATTTGCTTCATAAAAACTCTTTCAAGTAATTTTGGTCTAAACTTTCTGCATCTGTAATTGGCACCACCTTCTCCGGTGACCAGCTGGGGGTGAGGGTTTTCTTGTTTCCTTCTGAAAGCTTCCCCGCAGATGGGCGCCTGCCTTAATGCTGCAGACGACAATTAGGGCCGTTGTGTGCGGCCGGGATGGTTAGCATTAATATTGTATAGAACAGCTGAGGGCGGGGGTGCTGCCCCAGGCCAGCCCTGGCAGATGGGGCAAACAAAACCAGGACCCACTCTTAGCCACACTCTGGGCTGACTTTGTGTGCTTGTCTCACACTCATACAGACACTCAGAGATATTTGGCATCAAGCTCATGGGTTTATCTCTCACACACGCAAGCACGCGCACACACACATACATGAACACACAGTAACTTTGAGTGAGATGAGAACACAAGCAGCAGCAGCCTCAGCCAAAGCCCCCTTGCTACAGTATGTCTCAGGAGACATCTGTCACACACAGATTCTCTCCACCCGCCTTCTCAGGGCCAAGGGCTCCTGACACCCACTGGCAGCACTTGCCTGCTGGGCAAATCTGATGGGCAGGTAACTCAGCAGGAAAGGGCCTGGCTGGCCTCTATACACACCCTGCCTACCACCCTCCCACCTCCAGCCTTCCGCAGGGCAGTCTCCACTGGGCTTTGTGCTGTCAGCACTCCTGCAAGCCACAGGATCTGCTGGAGGGGAGGCAGGCTTTTCCGAGGGGCCTTGGCTGTTGTTCAGGAGGGAGCATGTGTCTGTCACCTCCTTGGCTGCCCAGAAAAGAGCACTGAGCATTGAGGAGGGACACACACAGCTAATTAGTCCCTCTGGCATCTTAACAGAGACATGTGAACAGGAGGGGGGGCGGGGGGGGGCCGGGGTTGGAGGTGGTACGCACCCAGAAAGGTCCCACAGAGCGTCATCCTGGCCAGGGGGTGCACCTTCTCTCCAGGGCCTGGACACACATCACTTAATGCTGGAAAAAGTTGCAGCATAAAGTTGTGTCTCAGTGCCCTGGGGAACCACCACTGCAGTCAGCCAATCAAGACCAGGGAGTAGATCATCACAAATTGATGCCCTGCAGCCTGCCAATGGGCTGCCTTCCTTACACAATGGGCCTCTGGACCCAGACAATGCCCCCGCCCCCCTCAGGGGCCAGGGAAGGGGAGTGAGGTAGGCAAAGATGGCCCCTCCCACACTCACACACTGACAGTGAGGAAGGGGAGGGTCTTTCCTGGAGACTCATCCCTTCCCCCTACTTCCGCCCTCAGGTGGCACTGAAGGCGAGTTTTCACTTGAAACCTGGCAGGGAACCAGCAGGCTGAGCTGGAGGGGTCAGGTCTGGCTTTGAGAGGGCAGGCTCTTGAGATCCCTCAGCTGTGGTGACTCCTCCCACCTGTTCCTACACAGAAGTTAGGGGAGAAAGGATGGGGGAGATAATGTGGAGGGACCTAGACTCTCTATGACCTCCTGAGGCCTTGTGGGCAGAGAGGGTGGGGTATGCAGGGAGGAAGGCTGGGGGGGAAGGGGAGGGAGGGGAATGACTGGGACCAGCTCCATCCAGACCTGGGGTGAGGAGGGATGAGGTATGTGCAGGTAGGCACCGAGGCTGCCTCTCTGGGATGATTCCTTATGCCTCACCGTGAGTCCAGGGTCATTTGCTGCCCATTGTAGCCCTTTGACAACACCTTAGAACCTGGCTGTCCCCTTGCCTGGCTACCCTCAATGCTAGGGGAAGCTCTTGCTCACCCCAGGCAGCTCCAAGTCACCTCCTGGTCCTCAGTGCTGCCGGTGTCTGACCTTGACAGGATGAGCCTGGTGGTGCTGGCTTCTCGCTCCCATCATTTGGTCAAATCCAGGCCAGTCCCTCCCATCCTGGACAGTATGGCGGGAAAGGTGGGGAGTATGAGGGATTCAGAACTTCAGAGGAGGCAGATTTGGATCATGGCCTGCCTCTCATGGCTGTGTGACTGAGAACAAGCCATGTATCCATACCTGCAGCAAGGCCACCAGTGAGGGCCACTG